AGATGATGACGACGATGACAATAAAAACTGATAACAAAAATCATGATAGCGATGACGATAATAGTTACAGGGGTATTCATAAATATTTAGTATCTTCGGTATATAGGTTTCGGTGAGCAGAATAGACATGAGGGTTTTAGATAATAGCGTAAAAGGGTGCTTTTGATCGACATGGCAAATCCCTGAATTGAAAAAGGGGAACGGAAGAAAAGGGAAAAGCATGCAAAACGCCGGTGGAAGATCACGACAGAGCCTCAGGACAGCAGATCAGTTGGATGAATGTCGTAAAGGATGTACATTAAGGATATTCTAAAGATCTAAGGTGACAGCACACAGGGTTTAGGAATGATGGTTCTTACGGCTTACGGTTAAAATATCGGCCAGTTTACGGCTAGCGGTTAAGTTGTTTTCGTTGCTACTGAAAGGAAAATTTTTGTTGTTAACTTTTTTACGACTCACAGTTATTATTTGTCAATTTTCAGGCCTTTTACAGCTAATTTTTTAATTCGGTTAACCGAGGGTCTTAATGGGGTTAACCGCTAGCCGCTAGGCGAGAAAGATGACGATTTTTAACCATTACCTGTTAAATGTAAAATTTTCCTTTGAAACCAATGGGAGAAAAATAACCGTCAGCCGTTTACCCCATTGAGACCCTCTTCACACCATCGAGACCCTTTTTACCCCATTGAGACCCTCTTTACCCCATTGAGACCCTCTTTACCCCACTGAGACCCTCTTTACCCCATTGAGACCCTCTTTACCCCATTGAGACCCTCTTTACCCCATTGAGACCCTCTTTACCCCATTGAGACCCTCTTTACCCCATTGAGACCCTCTTTACCCCATTGAGACCCTCTTTACCCCATTGAGACCCTCTTTACCCCACTGAGACCCTCTTTACCCCATTGAGACCCTCTTTACCCCACTGAGACCCTCTTTACCCCATTGAGACCCTCTTTACCCCATTGAGACCCTCTTTACCCCATTGAGACCCTCCTTACCCCATTGAGACCCTCCTTACGCTGAAGGTAATGATGGCGGTAGGTCATGCGTTCAGGCGCTCTCGCAGTTTTCAGCTATTTCTCTCCCTTATCTTTACTGGGGAAGTTGTTTTCGCTCTCGCGAGACCGCATACATCTGATAATCATGATTTTACACGGTTTCCTCTTCATGGACCGTCGATTGGATTGTTTGACCGAGCTGTCGCCTACAACCAAACACGATGCGGCCGCCATTACACACCGACTATCAGTCGCAAAGGGTTTTCATCCTACTATCCAAACTCCGTCTCAAGCTTCCAAACATCATTTCTAATGAGAAGTGGTGATATTAATCCAAACCCTGGCCCAGTTAACTCCAGCGCTGCAAACCCAGAGCCACGACAAGATGGATTTAACCTCCGCAAGCTTCACACATTTTATGCAAACGCTCGCAGTATCGTCAACAAACTCGACCTACTTGAGTTGGAAATGTCTCAGAGGAACTACGATTTAATTGTACTAACTGAGACGCATTTGGACCATTCCATTCTCGACTCCGAAATTTTCCCTTCACACTACACTGTCTTCAGGAAAGATCGTACGACCAATGGCCGTCATGGCGGTGGTGTGTTAATTGCAGTTCGAGATTGCATTCCAGCTACTCTTCGCGTAACTCATCAGTGTGAGTCTGAATTGCTTTTCATTGACTTGCTCTTCTCTCACGAGCGGCGGATAACCCTTGGTGTGTTTTATCGGCCCCCTGGAGGAGATAAAAAGCCTTTAGAAGACCTCCGGATCTGTATTCAAGAATTGAATTCAACAGCCGAATTAATTCTGCTCGGAGATTTTAACCTGCCGGACATTGACTGGTCATGCAATAGAGCTCTGCATCAATCAGATATTTATGTTCATTTAATTGACATAATCCAGGATAATTTCTTAACGCAATTAGTCAGAGAGCCTACAAGGAATCAGAATATTCTGGACTTAGTTATTTCAACTTCGCCAGATATTGTGGATCGATTACTCGTTGGAGATTGTTTTTCTGATCACAGATCCCTTAGTTTCAGGATCCTCTGCTTGCCTTATGTACAGCGTAAATCCCAGAAGCTTCTCTATTCGTACAGCAAGACTGACTGGACACATTTGAAGTCTTTATTATCTTATATTCCTTGGAGCTGTGCCTTTTTCGATGATGACATTGATTATAACTGATCCTGCTGGAAAGACTTGTTGTTTACAGCTATGGATCAATGTATTCCCTTGTGTCAAAGCAAGAGAAAAAGTAACGCACCTTGGATAACAAAGGACCTCATTAACCTGTGCAGGAAAAAGAAATCGCTTTATAGCAAAGCTCGAAAAAGTGCCAACCCCGTCCTTTGGGAGAAATACCGAAAGCTAAACAATGCTGTGAAAAGAGAATGCAACCAAGCTCGCTGGACCTACATCAATAACATGGCCTCGGAACTTGACTTCAGTGGTGATTCTAAGCCTTTCTGGAATTACGTTAAGCGTAAACGCAATGGTACTAATAATTTAGTATCCTTAAATGTTGGCGACGAAGTCTTGACAGATGATTCTAGCATTGCTAGCAGCTTAAACTCGTACTTTTCCTCTGTATTCACTACTGAGGACCTCGCAAATATGCCTTCCTTAGAACCTACAGTCAGCGAGAAACTCGATGTTATTTCCTGCACTTCTGGCGAAGTAATGAAGTGTCTCAAGTCCCTCAAACCGAACAAGTCCCCGGGACCAGATCGTATTTCACCAGTAATTTTAAGATCGTGCGCATCGGAGTTAGCTCCTTCGATCTCATATTTGGTAAACAAATCTTTCCAGCTTGGGCATTTGCCCGAAGACTGGAGGTCAGCAGATATTGTTCCACTCCATAAGAAAGGTTCTAAACACTTGAGAGAAAACTACCGTCCAATCTCACTTACCTCTATCGTATGCAAGATCAGCGAAAAAATTGTACGAAATAGGATAACATCCTTTTGGCATAACCTAGACGTGATAAACAAAAACCAATTTGGTTTTCTGCAGGGCAGGTCAACTACGACTCAATTACTCTCAACTATCCACGACTTTGCGAAATCGAGAAATTCATCTTTTGCAACAGACGTCATCTTCTTGGATCTCGCCAAGGCTTTTGACAGTGTTCCCCACGAGCGCCTACTTATTAAACTACGTAGCCTTGGTATTGTAGGAAACTTAATCAACTGGCTAAGGCACTTCCTCACCTGCCGTAAGCAACGAGTTGTTGTTAGAGGTACCTTTTCTGAATGGGCGCCCGTGGTATCTGGTACCCCGCAGGGCACCATCCTTGGCCCAATTTTATTCGTGTCATACATAAACGATATTGCTGACTGTGTTTCGTCCAATATTAAATTGTACGCGGATGACACTAAGATCTACAGAGAACTCCGTAATCCGACTTCTGACACACAAACACTTCAATCTGATCTTGATAGCCTCGGCCACTGGGCGAATACATGGCAATTACGTTTCAATGAGGAAAAGTGTGAAGCAATGCGTATAACGCATTCCCGTGAAAAATCGTCTACGGATTACACTCTCGGCTCGACCTTAAAGGATGTTAATAGCTTTAAAGATCTTGGAGTTGTAATCTCAAAAGATCTCTCCTGGTCTCAACACATCAGTATCATAGTAAACAAAGCCAACCAAGTCCTGGGACTCGTTAGGCGGACTGTTGGAACAGCCAATACAAGTACTTTTTCACTGCTTTACAAATCATTAGTGAGACCTCTATTAGAGTATGCTGTACCAGTGTGGAATCCCTACCTTGTGAAAGATATACATGCAATCGAGAACGTGCAACGCCGTGCATCGAGATTAGCTCTCAGACAGAAACGAGGTGAAATGCCGTACGAGGAACGATGTAACATTTTAAATTGGCCTCTTTTATCCACACGGAGAACCTACTTTTCACTTGTGGAATGTTATAAGATTGTTTTTGGCCTCTCCCATTTAGACTTTCAAGAATTTTTCGAATTTACAAAAGTGCGCTCCACAAGGGCTAATCATTCTTATAAACTTTACTTCAAATCTTCGAGGATAAACTGTTTTAAAAACTCTTTTTTTAGTAGGGTAGTTAGCGATTGGAACAATTTACCAAAGCATGTTGTAGAGGCAGGGACTCTGGAACTTTTTAAATTAAGATTAAAAATATTTTTAAAATTGTAAACATTAGATAGTTCTTTTCTTCTTCTTCATTTTTTTTTTTTTTCTGTACATAGTTCTACATTTGTTACTTTTTATTTTTTATTCAGGGGAGTTGTTATATGGGGCTAACCCCCAAACTCCCCTTTTCAAATTTTTATATATAAATTTATTTGTATATAGAATTTGAATAAAGGTGTATGTATGTATGTATGTATGTATTACCCCATTGAGACCCTCTTTACCCCATTGAGACCCTCCTTACCCCACTGAGACCCTCTTTACCCCATTGAGACCCTCTTTACCCCATTGAGACCCTCTTTACTCCATTGAGACTCTCTTTACCCCACTGAGACCCTCTTTACCCCATTGAGACCCCATTGAGACCCTCTTTACCCCACTGAGACCCTCTTTACCCCATTGAGACCCTCTTTACCCCATTCAGACCCTCTTTACTCTTTTGAAACCGTCCGTAAAGTGAAAGGGCTTTTCAGGACGTTTCTGAATGATATGCTGCTGAGCACCACATTGTTGTTGATATGCTGCTATTAGATGAGGAATTTAGCATACCACGTTGTTGTTGTATCTTCAACAATTAATTTTTAGTTGCTTTAATTCCATTACAGGTTAATTTCAAGTTTTGAAACTGCGCTCAGATTTGCAAAGATCATGAAATTTTGCTTCAAATTCAAACTTTATAGATTTTTATGTGACTATCTATAATTAATATATCAATTCCACATTTAGCATTAAAATTTCAAAATGGTAGAATATGTTCATAGACTAATATACATTCCCTAGCTATGTAATAAGTGTCCAACGAAAATTCTTTCTATCCTCCATTGTGCTTTATGAGACCATGAGTAGTCTTCTTGACTGTTCGTAGATCGTCTGCAACTGGCTATCATTCAGGTAACTGGCTTCCGGCTTGTCTGAGCAATCCCTAAGCTCAGTTGCTTCTGGTATCATGATTCATTGCAAGTGACACGCAGACTCTACAGGAAGCCCGTCCCAGTCTTCCTCTACTCTCACAGTGAGCCCGTCTAAGTCTATACTTGCTTCAAAAAACGCCAGCTCGTCTGAAGGCTGAAAAAAAAAAATCCAGTGTTGAACAAACTAGAGTATTTTAAGGTAGCCGCGATTTTGCTGTTTTGGTGCACCATTATGGCCTCTGTGACGTCATGTGAGATGCTCCATAGAGTTGGAGTAGAGGAGAGGTTTCTGGTGTACGAATCTTTAAATATTCAAAAACGTTACCTTGTTTCTTTCTATCACTGCCCTCACTTTATCCGCCATGTTGGGCTCTTTAGTAAGAAGCACAAGAAAGCCTCCTCCTCCTGCACCCGTCAAAGTTTGTCCTATAATGAAGACATTTACAGAGGTGATGACTTCAGATCAATCCCCATCTCTCAGTATTACATCTCTTAGCTACTAAGAGTACCTGGTTGGTATCTGTTTCAAGCCGTATCCTACTTTCGTTGCCAAAATATATCATTAATCGCCATTATTCTCTTTCGAAAGTAAATGGAAGTAATTCTAAAGTGACGCTTTCAGCTTGCTACCCTCGTAAGTCATTTAATTAACTTTTTCATTAAAAGACTCCTTTCCCAGATTTGTGTGCCCCACAGTAGATGTATCTTTTGTCTCTTATCTTGTCTTCTTATTCAGCACCATTAGTCACGGGTCCTTGCTTTTCTTCCGTAACTTATACTTCGGACCGAGAAGACAAGGTTAGTAAGAGGCATACTCATGTTTGTAGTGCATGATATTCTGGCATTTATAGCAACTGTTCAGTGGCATAAAAATTCCCTTAGTCTAATCATAATTCCAACGTTCACGATAGATTCTCAACGTATGTGTTGTTAATTATAGTCATTCACTGACCTAATACTAAAGGTTCTAGAGCTTTCATCATTTCGCTTATGCCTTTAGGTTCGGTTCCTGTTTGAGATCACGAAGCGCAAAGTTAGTTGAGTATTTTAAACTGGTTCATCTGAAGATTAATAAGCGTAAGGTATATACCATATATCATCCCTAGATAAATTTGCAACTCTCTCTAAAGTTTTCTTTGCCATCACGCCAAATGCTAGTCTTTTTTAGGACGTTTACCAGCAGTAGAGTATATTAAATGATGAACCTGTAAAATTAGAGACGAATCATAGAATGAGTGGTTTTTCCTAGAATGGGGGTTAGCCGTAAAAGCCAAAATATTTTTTAATGACAAATTTTAACCGTTAGTCACTAACTTGTGGAAACAATGGAAAGGTGTTAACTGTTGAGCCAAAATTTTGAGTAAAAGCCATCACCCCATTGAGCCTTAGTTTACTAACTCGTCATTTGTCACAAACGCTACATTTTTGACTCCAGATGAACACAAAAATAGGCGCTGCTTTTATACATTCACTCACCAGATGCCATGATACACTTCTGTTTCCTATAGCAGTTCATACACTCGCCGAGCTTTTCAATATTTCCTGGGGAAAAATTTCTCGTGATAAAACATCGCATTACAAGGATTTTTTTTTCGACTGAAAACTTATCAAATGAAAAATAGCAACAGAAAAAAAAATGAAAATAAGAATCAGACGAAAAACCGGTGCAAAAACAGACATTTATTTGCACAAAGGATTTCGAAGATACTTTGCCGCAGCTTATGAACAGATAAGCCACTAATCCTTGAAAAGCACCACGTATTTTCTACTAAACTGACTAGTCAAACCGGTCTAATTCACTCTGTTTCATTTTGGAATAAGGGTCAATCTGCTAACTTATCAAATTCACAGGCTTTACTAGGTACGTTAAAAGGGTTTTACGGTGAGGAATCAGAGACACATTAAATGCCTTATCCTACCTCCCCTCAAAGCTTTAGCAGCCTCTTCTGCATTTTTTACCAAATCATCCGCGTTTACAGTAATCTTTGGAAATCTTGCGTACCAATTCCTGACAACATCCTGAAAGACAAAATCCAAGCGTGCTTACTGTTTGCCTCGTGGGGAAAGACGAGCAATGAGGTAGCTATTGACTTGATTTTTGGATCAAGGGTGGCGTTTCTGTTAAGACCAATCACGAAGACAAATAAAGTAGTTTGCGTAGCCAGCGGTTTTAAGCACCCTCGATGAAAATGAAGGGAACAGCGGAGCTCTTTCGTCACAGACCTTTCACAGCTTCGTCGCTAAATTTTGCGGCTCCGACGCTCATCGTTTTGAGGCATGTGAATAAAACTGTCAGCTATTGAAGGCTAGAATTGAAACAAAATCAATTCCATCCAAGATTAACATCGACTCTTAATCAGAAAATAACCTCGTTCCTACCGATGTACCTGTAATAAATTCTTAGCAAGACGAGGCTTTCCTGAATAGATGCAAAGCAAACGTTTTGCGAAGGCATCGATGGTGGCTTGCGGAAGATTTAATTTCTCTACTTCTACTTTCAAAGGCAAGGCTGCCTGGGACCGAGCGATGTTAAAACCAGGCATCAGTCCTCCAACGTTATCTTGCCAGCCACCGCCGGTAGTTAGCATCTGTTCTACGATCATCACGGCGTGAATCAGTGAGTCTATGCTGGCTGTGCAGCCAGTCGAGCGTAAAAGCGCCGCCAGGATAACTCCCGCCAAAATGCTACTTGTGCCCAGCCCACTCCCTTGAGGAGCGGTTGACCAGGTGTGGAGCTCAAAGCCAGCTTGGTATTTTCTGAATAACTGTTCGGATAATTTTTCGCTTGAAGGAAGAGTCACAATGTCCAGAAAGCAAATGCATGCCTTTAGAAGGGCACCTAAAAGAGAAATTGCCCATTTTAACTAAAGAAAACGTAAAATTTTGGGAGGTCTTTTTATATTTATTCCTTTGAAATACAACCTGCAGTTAGGTTTAGACTATCTTTTTCTCTTGCGTTTGATTTTTCCCATTGCAAATAAAAGTTTTTTTGAAAATAAAAACGGAAGGAGTATGTGGTGGTACAGTGCACAAAGAATGCGCTAAAATCAGTATGCGTCAATTTTAGGAAGTACTAATAGCTCAACGAAAAAATACACCAACCAATATTTATGCGCGAAATTATGCAGTAACTGAATCACAGAGCAAATAATAAACCAGTTACTTGCAGGCTTTCAAAAGAGCAGCGCCTGATAGCAGAATGCCATTCATAGCAAATCTGTCGAGCACATGGTGCGTGTACCAGTTTATTTCAATTTAGATTGATTATTTTACGATATTGACCTGGTGCATGTGGTTGGGTGAAATTTGCTAAGTCTGATAATTCCCTGCAGACAACTTTGACGCTATGCTCTCCTGAGTGAATCACGAGAACTATTTCACACCTGTGGAATGAAGATTTACACATATCAATAAAGTCACCATAATGAATAACAAATAAGAACAAATAAGAGGCAGCTTTTTTTTGCGTTCGTAAGGCAGAGCGGATATTAGACGGTATTTGTACTTTTGTATCACTTTGAACGTACAACGAATATGCTCCACAAAACAAGATTTGTCGGGGAATGATTCGTCTGAGACTTATACGCTAATATAGGAGTTTCACGAATATATAGGCTTACTACAAAATCAAAGCTTACTCCTGAATTTTCCTAACTCTGGCTCCGGTTACTTTCTACAATAGAGATCATAACAAACAATTTTTTAAGTACAAAAGTGATTACGTTATTCATGTACAATTGCTTTTAGAACTACAGAAGACATGAACGATGTATCATCCTTAGAAATAGTTATAGACAATGAAATATAATGTTATGGTTGTAAATCATAGGTGCGAAGTAAAAAATCAAATTGAAACCCAAATAAGGTCAACACAGGTGTAATTTGTACATTTGAACGAGAACTTAAAATGCCGCTTGACCGCGAAGTGAACCAAATTGGAACTAAAGGCCAAGGTCGCCCCAATGTCTCGTTAGCCCATACATGCATAATGTGTCGCTGAGAACTAATCAAGCCAAAATAGGTCTGTAAGGTATCATTTTGAACTTTAAAACTTTGAAATGTCTCCAAAGAATTCTTCTTCGCAACTTTCTCTCAAATTTGCTGTTGACTGATTGATATTTACAAAATCCAATTTGACTTGGTCACGATGGATGCCACATTGACGTGACAGTTTCAAGTAGTCTTCTATTGCTAGGGGAATTTTTCTAAGCGCTTTGCTGATGAGTTATTTCTTGAGAGTGTCAAATCTTACCTTTCCGTTTAGGTTAATGGCGACAGTTAGTACAGCTCCTCCATGTTCATACGTTATGGGTGGAGTGTCAGTCCAACAGCCAGATAAATCAGCCCGGGCTAAATTTGATATAAATGGCAAGTAATGTAGACGTTTAATTTGTACCATGGGTATGACGTCACGCAAAATAACATAACATAACATAGGGGTAACTACCGGTAAGTGACACTAATGTGGCAACTCATCTCGTACCCAGATCCTACCGGGTAACTGTTACTGAAATGAAGGAACTTGCAAACGCTTGTCCGTGGAAGATCTGAAGTATTTTAATGAATTGTAACACATTATCAATGAACAATGCGTTCACAGCTTGCGAACAGGCCCTCATTATTGCCTTGTCTAACACTGATAATGAGGTAATATCAGAGCTAGACTTCCAGTAAAACCTCTTCCCGACTGGTCTCCAATAATCTTCCCGTGGAGATACGGGCAGAGGGCCTGTTCGGAAGCTAATGTGTTCATTGGAAAAATTATTTACCAGGTGCCTCAGCTATCACCCAATGACCAATGGGAAGGGATTTGCATTTCTCAGTGACAAAAAACTGCAAAAGATCAGAATATCAGTAAGTACCAGAAATGCCTTCATATTAAAATGTATATTATGATTAGCTACATAGGTTTAGTTAGTTTCGTTTTTAAGTGAGTCATAATGAGGAAGGTCCATAATTTCAATGTTGAAAGTAAATGACAGGTACTAACAAGGAATAAGCGCACCTGTTTAGCTGTGAATACGGCCCTTCTTCTCAAAATCTGTTCCGCTCCTTCATAATGTCGAGCCGCTCGGATCAGTAAATCAGGTCTGCTGAATAACCAAACAAGCATGTAAGTGTTTTTTTTTTCTCCTGCAATTGACATGATTTTTATACTCGCCTGTCGAGCCAACGCGAGCGCTCCTCTGCGAGAGCTTTCACACCCGCAGGTATATCACCTTTCTATGAATGAAAAAAGAAGAGAGAGAAATAGGTGTGTAATTATACTCATTTTATACTATTGCCTAAGAAAGCTTATTTCACGAGATGCTTTCAAATGCACACAATTGGGGGGAAAAGTTTTTTAAGCAGACATAAATAATCAGTAATCAAAAGGATTCACACATATAAAAAGGCTTTATCCAGAGTCCCTTGCTTTGTTGATGATAGCTACCAATTTTACACTTACATCGAGAAGATCAAACGCATTCACCCAGGATTCATTGCGGGCTGGTCCACTTCTCAGCCCAGCCCTCTCTCCTGCCATCACTCCCAACACGTCAGCAATACAGGCCAGGGTCCGTGCAACCACGCCTGGGGAGGTGGCGGTAGATGCAACTGGGGAATGGAAAAAATAATGAAAAGGTTGTTTGTTTTGACTCCGCACTAATTTGTTTTCAGACGCTCAACTAAACAGCGTTCTCTATGATTCCCTTTACATCAAATAATTTTAGCTAAGCTTGGTTCTTTTAAGCACGTGATTACCTTGATCTAAAATGTCCAAAGTATCTTTCGCGAAACCTTCTTTTACACAGCCCTTCAAAAAAGGCAGCAGGCAATCATTCGTGCAGTTTTTTAATGTGTTATTCACTTGCGCTTTTCCAATTTCAAACCATAGTTTTTTTCTCCATGCAAACTCTGATGACGAATCAATCAAGGACATGATTTCCTTCAGTGATAGCCGAACTGAGGAGCGCCACCTAGAAAAAAACATCATAAGCTACTTTAGCCAAAAGCATCATGGGATTGTAAATAAAAGACTTGGTTAGAGGCCTAATTACGAGGAACCGAAAATTTTGCGAGACGGGTATCGCTTTTACCAAGGGGTTCATGGAAAAGTTTTACCAAGAATCTTATTTCCAATCTTTGAATCCAATTATTTTTAAGGGAGGGGGAGGGAAGAGGCTTACTCGATCCGCCTTCCGTGTAGGTTTGATAAGCCTGAGAATGAGAAGTGTTACACAGCAAAGGTCTTAAATAATTACGAAGAGAGAGCAATTTTTGAAGGCCTCGGTATAGGGTCAGAGCCTAAGGCCAGGGTTTGTCCTCCGACTTCTTTGAAATAACCCGATAACTGCAACTCGTACCGTTGAGCCAAGAGAACCTACTCCCAAGTCATACAGCTGGAGACCTTTGATAGCTTTGACCGCATGGGACTCACCCTTCCCCCCCTGTTATCTTCGTTTCAAACGCACCTCAAAATTACTTCTTCAAATCCATAAATACGATCTCCAAGAACGGATGGAAGACCATGTGTATCTGACCTCTTGACCTGGTTCTGATTTGGATCTGTTCTACTTTTTTCGGTTGAAAAGCTGGAAAACAGAATTTGTATAACAAGTTCCAAGACAGTGGGCGCTACATCTCTTTTCTCGTCGTGGAGGTTGAAATAAACAACAGGGAAGAGTTTCGCGTTCCAAAGACATCTCTCTTGTTCTGGCTGAAACAAACAAGCGGACATATTCGCATCACAAAAGCCGGTCTTGCATCATATGCTGATTACAACTTAATTCTTATTTATTTATTTTAAGTTACGTTGCTATTCTCAAAAGACAAAATAAAAGATTGAACAAGACAATACAAAAAGGAAACATTGGTGGATAATCAATCAACTACTCTAGTGCCAAGACCCTGCGGGACTGAAACACGTCACTGATTGTTACTGCATGGAACAGTACCAGGCTTACATAGCATGTTCCAACTGTGCGTATGCTGACTTACCACTCCGAGCCAAACTTCCTCAGAACTTATTCCGGCTCTGTCAAAAAATTTCTTCCAAGGCGTGTTACAGAAAGTACTGTTAGGGGACATATATGGCACCTGCGGAGATCAGTTTAAGCCGAGTGTAAGTTATATCTATGCTCTTTTGTCAATCGTTATTGCTATTACTCATGCGATTCTTTAACTTGTATAAAAACTGATATTGAAGATTGGACCGAGAGTTTGTTCTCTGAAATTTGTTATTGTTGCCGCAATTGTTTTCTTAGTTATCAATGCAAACTTTGTCAAAATGGCATAAGTCACAAGAAGAGAAAATCGCCATCTCTATCCAATTCTTTGCAAGGCTCATTGAACATCTCCGCATTCAGAAACACAAGTACAGGTCCAAGATCCTCGAAGGGTGGATAACGCTACTCGCTGGGTATTTTTCCATCCGAAAGCATTTTGTCAGTCCTTATTTGCTGGACAGTGATTTATTGCTGTATAGCGTTAAAAGCTCTTAAGCAACTGGGCATTGCAGAAATCTAACCTGTAAATCATCATGAACTCCAAATGCAACCAAAACCGTCTGTTGCTTTACATCAAGACCAGGGAGAGATATGTGACAGCGTATGATACACATATCGCTTGGAAAACTGAGTCCAAATAAAGAAAAGTCCTATGAAGATAAGAAAATTATTAAACCCTTCAAGTCCCCAGGTTTGACATTTGATTTGCAGTTTTCCCTTCTACTCTCTTCTCCCTTTTGCTGCAATATAATTATTCCTTGTAAAAAGGGAATTTGCAACGGTGTTACCATCCTATTGAAGGTAAATTCACCTGTTCTCATCGCCTTTCTGGATAATGAGTTGAAATTGTGAGGAAAATGAAGATGCAAATTACTCTAAGACATTAGTATTTGCTGGCTTCTAACTGTGTACGACCGTGAGCTTAAGGCCCCTTTCCAATTTCGATTCTCTCGTGAAGCAGTGGCGATCTCCAAGTTGGTTTCTCGAGTACGTGTTTGTAAATTCCATCGTACTTCGATTGTAAGGAAGCATGACCACAGAAATACCTCGAGGTCTTTCGAGGTAAGACCAATCAAGATAGACCCACATCCAAACTGCATACCACCCTGAAATAAAAAAACATCTCCGCTTAGATAAAAGTATAGAAGGAAAAAATTAAAATAATAAAACCTGATAGAATTAGCCTCTAACAAGGATGAGCCCATTTAGACTCCTTTTCATCGTGTTGACTATTTCAGTCAAATTAGTCTTTTCACAGACCATACATTTCCTCCCAAATCATCACCCAGAGCTCGACCGTAATTAAAAACCGTAACAAATTAATTATAGGGTCACGCCTGTGCAATCAACTTCTGTTGAACTAACTATAAGTTATTATTATTATTAATTATTATTATTATTATTATTAATTATTAACTGTCGAGTCTTGGCTGCTTTCAAAATTCCTTAGAAGCTTGATGGAGTAGCTTCCATCTTGAGGTCTCAATTCCTAATTCTACCTTCCACATGCTAAGCAATCCTTTGCAATTTGGTAATGAGAATTTAGTGTTAAATTAACACTCTCTTCAGCGGGGTTTTTCTGTTAACAATACTAATTTACTTAAAGAAGCATCAAAAAGGGAAGTTAAATGTCGATCTTTTCCGGGATTTGAGTATTTACAAACTGACCTTCAAGTGACAGTGCGACACAACTGAATCCTTCCCTATTATGATGCTATCGTCAATGATGGAATTGATTACAACAGAAGAACCGTAGTCACTAGAACTGCCGCTCTGTACACATAGAGGACAACAGAATGGCTTTAAGGACAGAACCAGACGTCGTATGGGAGGCAGGGGATAACATGTATAATCATAGAAAATAATTAATAAATAAGACTCCCCTCTGCGCGGTCGTCCGATTTGTTAACACTAGCATGATTACAGACCAAATTGAACTCCATTCAATCCTATTACCATTTCTAATCCACGTGCAAGTTATTGAATTTCTTAACGGATCAGAATGGAGAGAGTGTGTTACTGAGTAAATGAGTGAATAGCTTAACCACATAATATGACTAACGTCATGCCATGAGGTAAAAAGGAGCAGTGAGTACTGATGTCTTTTCTCTTTGTGTTTGAATAATCTGACATAAATATCTCTGGAAGGGAACTTGGTTGTGGCTGTGTGACACCATTCTGAAATTATTTTCATTTCAAACTTCGTTGATTCAATAAGGAGATATTTCACACTTACCATACATGGGGTTACATGCGTGAGTCTATTGCAGTCAAATGACTTTCCACTGAAGTTAAGCAGGTTAGTGCTGCTAAGCATTTGTCTCCTGTAACATTCCCCAGAGGCATTCATGTAATCAAGGGTTCCGTTTTCAATGAGAACTGTTCGGAACAAAATTCTTCTCAGTAATTTGTACACAGGCTATTTCCAGTATATTAGGGATTCTAAGATCTACGTTTGTTTCTGAATACGTGTGACCGCAAACGTCTAGGAGTCACGTGACCAGACTCCAGCGGTCACGTTTGCCGTCCACGTTTGAACTTCGGGCATGGCAGTTTCAGGTAGTTAAACCTCCTTGACGCTTTTTGTCTTCCTGTTTGAAAGTTATCACGTATTTCCTATAATTGTAAGTGAAGTGAGATCTTTTCTTTGTAACCATTCCGTTTGGGACGCTAGAAAACCATTCTTTCAGCCACATTTTGTGCTTGAAGTAAAAGACCTCCACCCTTTGTGTAGTTCAAGATGGCGGCGCACATGTCAATTTTTTCAGGTGATATCCGACTTCGATCTAAAGGACTAAAAGCCTTGAAACTTCTAGCTTCTAACCACAAAGTGCTGACCGCGGTTTGACGTTTGCGGTGAACAATCCAAACGCGGATCTAAAACTCCTTATTAAAGCGCGCCAACCCTAAGGCCTCAACGTCTCTGACTAGAAAGTGTGTTAAAGGAATGCCAGACCGCGGCAACGTTTTAAGTTGAATATTAAAAATATATCGCCAAACCTCCTTTTAGTTGTAATCCTCGGAGACTTTTCCAGAGCTGTGCTCTCGCGCTTCTCATCAACATCAGCTGGCTCTGATAATCCCTGCTTGTCTCATACCGAGTATTGCGGCGTCCGTACGAACCACTTCTTTCACCACAAACAAAATCTGACTCCGATACATCTTCAGCCAGGCAGAGAAGGATGTCAAAGATCATCGATAACTATCAGATGTAAGAAAAGTAATGGTCTCCAAAGCAAACTTATTCTTTTTTTCGAATTTATCCGGTATGCTAAATGTGAACAGGGACTGATCTTGCAAGCGAGTTCCTTCCCAATTTCTTCAACTGAGCTATTCAAACCTATGCCTGGGCCCGAGGAAGACTAGCAGATCCACATCCGAAGTAACCACATCCGGAGACAAACGATTACATTTTTCTTTTGAAGTGTTATTTACCTTGATGACTAACCACAACCTACCTCACGATATAAGCCTTTAAGAATGTTGGGCAGCGTGTTTCATAAATTTTTATATGGGCACTAGCGACTTTACCTGGATTGGCTCCGCTCCGTTGTCCAAACCATAATAAGTGCACGCGTCCAGAGGATGAAAGACATGAAGATTTAGCATCTTTGATGCCACTTTGGCATTCATGTACACTGTACCAACAACCTGTTGATAAGACAGCCAAGGAGTCATTAACTGAACCGTTAAAGATAATTTACCTTATATCAAATACCCTCTATCATTTAGCCAGTCACTTATTCCCTTCCTTTCATTGCCAAAAAACGCCTGAATTAAAACAAGATGTCATTTGATGAAATTTCTCTCCCTTACGATTGGCCGAAAGCCTGCCATATAATCTGCAAATGAATTCCAAGAAATGATGCTTCTGTCAAATTAAGTACCCAGTCCGTCTAAGTTTGTAGCGCGGATTACACGCTCTCAACGAAAACTTTTTCTTCCAAAAAAATTGGAATATTCGGGATCTACCCCTAATTGATTACAGAAGAGCTACGTTTAAGAAATTTTATATTCTTTGGTAAAGTACACATACTTATCGATCTAAATTCTTTTCAACTTACGTGGAATGACCCCCAACTTACCACTGGTACTTTGCCGTTGCTAAGGGCACATTTTCTTATTTCGTCTTCAGTTTCTCGAAATATTATATCTTTTACTTTGCCCTGGAAAAGAACAAAGGGAAAAACATGCTTTTTAATTTTGGTTCAAATAACTGATACCATGAAAAGCTTTCCAGTAGATAAATTACCCTTCAAAAGATTTGTCAGCCATACCTCCTCTCCCAGTTTCACAACCCCGTGGTCCTTTGCATATTGCACATTTTCTTGAGAGAGAATCACGATAATTTCATCTGAAAGCTTGTTCCAATCAATTCCTTAGGAGTAACGACAGCGAATTAGACGGAAATACGTGTAAAGTTGCACAAAGCTACACATATGTTCAATGTTTAAATAACTTTGATGTACCTGCAATTATCAAGTTTTCCAAGAAATGCTCACGTTCAATTTTCTTGCATTTGTTTGTTTTATTTAATTTTTGTACTTACTTTTTTGAGGATCCACGGACGGAAGCATATCTGCACTACAAATCCACACTCCCGCAGGGGCGTTTGCCGATAGCTATTTAAAGAAGAAACTTAATATAAAGTTAACAGAAGTAGTCCCATTTTACAAACCCAAGTTTCCAAGCCGCTGAAAAGTATTCCATCAGATTATTCTCTTTAGCCATAATAGGTCTTTATATTTATCTTTATCAAAAGGCCTGCCACGTATGCTCCTTAAACAATATTATTTATTCAAAAACTGTTTTTTTTAAGGGGGGGAGGGGACTATTTAGAAAGCAGTAGCTGTTCATGAACCGCGTGTTGATTGATTTGCGTGAGCGGCTAGGTTACCGAGTTCTTTGCAAAATTGGCGGCGTCCATAACTGAAATTTTGTCACGTTGGGAGACAATATGGAGACCTTTAGATTGCACTTTGGAATCTAAAAACGCAGTAAATAGTAGATTTTTGAAAATACTTTTTGACAACGAAGATAAATACTGCACGGTTCCCGAAGCAGACTTCTCCTTTGGATGTAAACGCATCATAGAAATACTTTACCACACACACTGTCTCACCGTCTCTGAGATAACATGGAGCATGTAGTCGAAGTTTGTCACCAGAGCATCGTACAGATTCTCTTTTGATTCTTCCGAATGTTTAGCAGGTAGAGTGTTAAAGAATCTTCCACAAGGACTAAATGGAAAATCCCCACCCTTCTGTTAGAAAGGAAAATGAAATAAAACGTCTTCAATTATTTTTGTACGGTCCTGACTCTGCCAATCACTCAGCCATTTCCCAAAAGGCGCAACACTTCTGTTTTAATTCGAGAGCAAGTGCACAGTTTTGGATAGGAAAATGATTCTTTACTCTCAAAGAATCAAAACTAATTTTCATCAGAAATGTTTAAGCTTGGCCACATTTTGAAAGAGAGGGTTTGCAGACTACGGAAGTGATTTGTTAGTAAGTTTGAACTAAGACATGCCGATGAAAAATCCACATAAGCAACTGCAGTGAGGAAAAAATGGTGGATCACGGGCCATTTCTCTCTCGTCTTAAGAACTCTTCTGCGAAGTAAGTTCGCAAGAGCCGACTCAAAGCAGCGCTTGCTAAAGAAAGATGATCTGCTCCTCTTCAAATCGCTAGTTGCGTAGCCACTTACAACGCCTAATAAATACTCCCTTAGTCACAGTGTAGAGAAATAAGAAGCTTTAACATGAAATATCGTTACCAAATGAATGAATGTTTCCAGGTCGCTTCTGAGTTCTTATTGGAGAATGTAATCGTTCCCCTGGTCATGCTCTTTGTAAAACGCACCCTGTTAGATGTAAACATCACTTACCATGTGCATTAGAAGAATGTTTGCGTTCTCTAGAACACTTTCATTAGCGACCTGAAAGAGTACAAGTAGTTATCAAATGCGTTTATCAACACAAATAAGAACCTGAGGAACATTAGTCCGTACCTTGATTTATTTCGCTTTTTGTCAAACACAACGCCAAAAAATCGATTTATTTTTAAGAGGTATATTGACAGAGCCCTTACCAGCGGTGACGTTTCTAATGCCCTCAAATTTGTTGAAAAACTCGAAATAGTAATTAAGTCCCTCTACTTTTCATGTTTTGTCCGGCACTCATCTATTTAGTTTACTTCGGTTATTGAGCGGTCACCTCGCCACTTCTGAATTAAGACATTTAAAATGATTGTGTGCCCATCGAATATTGTTGCACAAGACGCCAGCAAGTTGTGCATAAGTCCTGAATGACCACTTTGTTTGTTTGCCAACAAACCCTTTACAGTAGATTACTCATTAGAAGGAAAAGAAGACATTATTTGACCCAAACCTGAAAACCAGCTTTAGCGCTAAGATGCTCAGTGACAACTAACAAAGCATTCAGCGTAGCCCCACCACTTCCAACACCCCCTCTGGGGTCCTCAAGAGCCAACACCAGTGTATCTTTGCTAATCAGTCCCTTACTTTGACGAAGTTCAAGTTCTGTCGGAGAAAATGTTTCCACAGTTATGAACACTTACTTTTTGTACCGGTTAGCCCGAAGAAATTTGAAGTTTATTTAATAATGGTAATAGACAGAAATTTCTATATGATCGCCGGTATAGTATCACACTTGGGATGTTGGGAAAGGACGAGAATCGTTTGTAAATCACTCGGCTCCGGCTCGTGATTTAAAAAATTTGCTCCTGTTCTCCCAACATGCCAAGAGTGTTATTATGTCAGTATACCGACAGAAAGTGCAATATATTGCTTGAAGATTTCATGACATTTGAACCCTAATATTTGTCGAATGGCTAGCATACACGTTAAAGTGAGGACAAAGAAAGTTCTTTTCTTAAGCATCGTACGTAAGTATACATAAATTTTTGGAAAGACATGATAGTCTGCGGTTGCTTAGACACGCTCAACTCCCTTGAGCAATGCAGTTGTGCCAAGTTACATTTTTGAAACGACACCGAAATGGGTTCTTGTCTAAACGGAGTACACTAAACGCAATTAATAAGCAAAAGAGAATCTTCTCCTTGTCAATGTTTTTCATGTATGGCTGCTCAAACAAGAATCGCAAAAATCACTTTCCTTTAGAAAGTTCAGTGACCTTTACCCACTAAAATTTGTTCTCGCAAGACAAGAAGAATCGCCAATCCGCAAAATAGAAATTCCGTGTAATGTTCATGCTGATTGGTAATTTATATATTTTGAACAAGACCTCTCGGACTAATCCTCGCTCGCTCAGTGAGGACCTGTTACGCGACCACATTAATCTTACATTCGATTTTTTTTGGAACTACAATTAAAACAGACTGTAAGCTCTTAACAATGTTTTACCTGTCTGGAGAGTCCTTGCACTCGTTTTGTTTTGACAGGTCAAAACTATCGCAGTCCAGGAGGTTTTTACCGCGGTTTCATCCATGGTTTAATCGACAATGGAAACTAATATTTTCTTAAAGTGGTTAAGAAGTGATGTTCTCTGGAGTAGAGAACTAGATTCATTGAGTGCTATAAATGATAGATGTGAAGTCACTCATTTTCATAACAAAGACAAACAGCCAGTCGTTTTGATGAAGAAAATTAAAGATGTTTGAAGGTTTTCTCACATAATGTAAAGATAATTCTGTAATCCACCACAGTTGCCCTTGACGATGTCAAAGGTTTTTGTTAAGATTCTGTACGGTTTGATTGCTCGTTTGAAAGTAATCCTGTATGGAAATTCGTTATTGATTGTGATTCAAATAAAGATTCCAACTGCAAAAGCTCATCTAATGAGTTTTTCCGTTTATTTATGAAAAGATAATTTCCCTTGGAATTTGCTTTTAAAGCTGGAGTTGCGTGGTATATTGTAATAATTTAGAAAGGGAAGAAAGGGCTTTACAGACGTGTGGTGACTTTCAAAGTCTTCTAGAAGCGAAGGAAGACTAAGACACGAAAAAAAAGGATATCGAAAATGACTTGTAGCTTGCGGCTCGCGTCTGAAAAAGAAAATCGGCAATCGGAGCCGGATTTGTTGCTTAGCAGATTTATTATGTCGGTGCGGAAAAAGTCTAGCGAAGGGTATGAGCCAACAACTCTCAGTGAAATTATAGCGGCAGCTACCCAATAGTAACGTGTCAACCGCTCGCCACAACGCCAGATTAACTGAAGTCAAAGTCGACTTTTCTGGTCAGAAAGGACCTATGGTGTTTACACAATTAACAAAATAATACATGGTTGCTTTTAGATATAGAATTTCTTTTCTTGTGCTAAACTCGAGATCTCACTCGTTCGCTGTATCCACACATGAGATATCGAGTTGAACACTCGACTGAAGAGAAACTCCATATTGTACTCTGCCTTGGTATTATGCTCTGTTTATAATATGACTTGCATTGCAGCAGCTTTTTAGTAGGTCTTTTCTTGACGAAAGAAAATACTCTGATTGAGGACGCGATTGCTGAGGTTCGAAAAAACCACGACAAAATATTAGGAGTTAACAGGATATTTTATGTCCACCTTTACAGTTTCGTAACCGCACTCACATATCTTTCGAAAGAACTATCCTGACATGTTGTTTACAATTGTACTCACAAAAAAATGTTCACACAAACACGTTACTTTACTGATATATGACTTCTTGAAAATAAAATATTTTCAAGTGCGTCAATTATTCAATTCAAAGAAAAAGAGTACCTTCGGTAGCTCGTCATGAATATATTTCGTTTCTAATTTTGCTGCCTTATGCATGAATTTATTTCGTTTCTAATATTGCTGCCTTATGCTTAGAATGCGTCCGATGTTTAGCATGCAATGTTATCCAATTTTCCGTCAGTCATAAGAATGAATAACAATAATTCGAGATTTGCTCTGGTTGCACGCCTTACCTAGCTGTTTTATCGTTTATTCGTTGTGTACGTTTGTTTTTTTGCTCTAGTGACATTGAAGTTCTACTTTGTAAATGGCGCAGGCTTGCAGTTGCCTCAGAGCGAACTGCGCCTCCCTTTTTTATGTCGAATTATTAGATACCAGTAATATATTCTCTTCACCAGAGATTTGATTCTTTTCAATAATTCAGTTCAAATTTGTTACCCTGACCGGTAGACCAGGAAATAAGAAAGCTCTGAGAAAAGGAATCCTGAACTGGAAGCCTGCGGACTAACTTAATTGCATAGTCTACGTCACCGTATCTTCTGCACTCAAAACTGTCTGAAATGATTATTTTATCACTATTTAATTTATCCTTAGGGCGTACTTCTAAGTTCTTGACGTCTGTTAGCCACACTGAAGAACAATGCAGACTCCTAAAAAACTTCGCTCTGGTATTTCTGCGATCTTCTTTTTTCAGAAAAAGAATTGGCATTGTCGATAATGGACCCGGCTGACCTGGAAACGGAATCTGACGTTGGCTTGACCTCCCTTGAGAAAAAGCTGTTGCAGGGGATGATGCGTAGGAGAGTTGCTCGAAATCTGTCATTCATCACCGTGTACACTATGGGGTTGTAGATTACAGAGGCTTTGGCGAGTAAATCCGGGACTTCTGCCTCTGAAGGTGTTAACGTATTCGTACCCCGGATGGTGGCGATGATGCTGACCAGGCAATATGGCGACCAGCTTAACACGAAGGCGGCAATTGACATCGCAATCATGCGCATCATTTTGATCTGAGACTTTCTTCGACTGGCTTCTACTGAGGCATTTCCTGAGGTGGGTTGTTGAATGCGAATGAAGCTAGGATGGAAGAGAAAGCTGTAAGTCTGTGATTATGAATAGTATTCCAATAACACTGATAACTCAAATAATGATCATAAACATAATAGTAATAAATAAAAAAAAATGATAATAACAATAATAATGTATAACGAAGGAACCCCACTCGCTGAGGCGTTTCCTTCCAGTGGGATCCTAAGAAGAGGCCTCAGTGTGACTCTCAGCATTTTTCTCATTGTGGGAACTGTAGAAAAAACTATAGAGAATTATATATGGGCGCGCGTAGATATGGAATTTCTCTTCGAGTGTTTAACTCGATAGCTCACGAGTGAGTGAGCAAATCTTCGATCAAATCTTTCAGTTGTCGATTTTCATTCTCAGCCGAGAGAAATGCTAACGCCAAAGCCACTGAATACGCAACTTTCGATTTTTCTTTTAGGATATTGGTTTTATTCCCCTTCTAGGAAAGTTTGAACCTCATTGTCTGTCAGCGATACGGATTTTTTAGTGTTTTCGCCGTCATTATTCGAGAAAGCTCCCACAAACAACTTGTACTGAGAATCGCGAAGGCTTCGCCGTTCATTCATCAACCTGACCGAGTGGCGTCAAAGGCGAGTGACGTGTAAGCAGCTAATTGGTTAAATCAACACACGCGAAAAAATACGATATTTTTTCACGTGTGTTGTTACGGCTTTTCTCAGGGCCGGAAATCCTTGTATAACACCGCAGATTATGTGATAAAATTTATTATCCAGCAGGCCGTCCACGAAAAAAGAATTTGTCAGTTTATGTGGAAATGCAAAGCAGTTAGAAGCAAAAATGATGGATTGGATTTTGGGAGTAAAATACTTCATCGTTTTCGACACCTGGATTATATTGACATGAATTATATTGAAAGCCATGTTCGAGAAGGGGTGGAATGCAAAAAAACATAACCTGGCGAAAACAAGAACTAGCTCGAAAGTTAGTTTTCTTGGTAAAATATCCATCGCCGACCTTAAAAGAGGCAAAAACCTTTTCTTCCGATTTTAAGGCCACATTAATACAAATATTGATTAAAATATTGGATGGCGTTAGATAGATTACAACCCGTTCCTCCTCCAAGTATCCTAAATCAAATAAAACTGCTTTCTCTCGTAATACCATAGTCATCGGAGTCCTAATCGATTTTGCAATCTACGGAATATTGTAAATGAGATCTATTCGATTGGGAAAATTGTCATTTAAACTCTAGAGTTCTTTTCAATTGGCAGCAGAAAGCGGCATCAGCAAGCTCACCTGTAGATTCTGTAGTAACAAAAAATGATCACACACAGTGGCAGCACGAAGCCAATAAAAACCAGCAACATATTGTACGCCACTCCAGCCTTCGTTTCCGGCACCCAATTGGGACAGCAGCTGATACCGGAGGCGCCTGGGACGAATTCGTTCCAGCCCACTAACGGCGGGATCATGGCCACTACTCCATAAACCCACGTGAATGTGATAATGGCAGCCATTTTGATGGTGGAGATTTTTGTTGTCTTGGTGACTGAACTGACACCGTGAAACATAACCAAACTCATCATGGTCAGATTGGCGATTGAAGCGATGCCAGTAGAGCCATTGATAAATCCCGACCATATGCAGCTTATCCGACTTTCACGAACGTTAAGGCCAGAGGACGTATAGTTACTTGCGACGACCACAGGATAGCCAAAGACAATTATGATGATGTCAACAATCGCTAAGTTTATCATGAGTGGAGTGATGTTTTTCTTTTTGTGTTCAGGGCAACGTAAGACCAGGATTGTCAGAACATTGCCAACCGAACCGAATACCAAGATTAGGGTCATGACGATACCATATGGAATGAGGATGTTTGCACTCAGATAGAATTCTTGATTGCTGTTAATTGTTGTCGGAGTCGTGCTCAGAACTCCAGTTGACGGACTCATGACTTTCCTTGTCAAAGCTTTACGCGTTTGAATCGTGATCAGTTGTTAGACTTGCAACTTTCTGTTACGTTTATCAGTTCTGTAAAGGAGTTTAAAACATTTTCATGTAAATAGATATAAAGAAAGATAAAATCATTAAAAAATATCTTTAGTTCACTTGCCGTTTTGTAGCGATCTCGCACACTTCATGATATGACAGCAATCTTTGTTTTGTAGGCATGTTGGGTTGTAATTACCTATCTATGAGTGTAAAACTAAGAGTTTCGTATCTCCCTAATTCATTGTGCGAAAAGGCTTAAGCACTGAGTTTGAACTTTGCATAGAAAATATTGCTCATCTTTGGTAGTAGTTTTTCATTATTTATGGAAACGAAGCTCTTTGTTTCCAGTAGAGAAGAAAGGTTTAAAAGTACGGCGGCAAGATTTAAATTATATCCGAAGAGCTTAAAGGATCTTGGTCAACCACGCCCCTGTATTTGTTTACTTTCGGAAAAAGTACAATAACGTTCTTACGATAATCAACATCAAGGGAACATCAGTTGAGGTTCTCTTGTTGGCACAAAATTAATTTGATGGTGAATGAAACTAGAGACACGATAGAGGAAGCGACGATGATTGAAGTCCCACGTAGGATACATTGGTTAGGATGCAAGAGCACTGGAACCATCAAATGAAACATTAAGTCCAAAGACGATGGTATAAGAAATAACGGATATTCCGGTGCGTGAACGCAAAGCATTTTTCGATTGGATATTTTAGTTCATAATACAAATTACGAACCACAAAGCACTTAGATTCAAATCCTTCCGATCGCACTTTTTTATTATTTATTAAGTTTATCCAGCGAACGAATGCGAAGCGGAGGCAAACACATAGGGCGAGTCACGGACAAGAATTCCTATGTTTGCCTCTGTCTTGCATTCGTTTGCTTGATAAACATAATAAATAATTAAAAAGCGCGGTCGGAAGGATTTTAATCTTAGTGCTTTGTGGTTCGTACTCATTGCGAAAGAAACTAAAACATCTCATGAAACAATGATTTGCGTTCACTTACCGGAATATCCATTATTTTCTATACCATCGTCTTTGGACTTAATGATTTATATGCTGGTTCCAGCCCTCTTGCATTCTAACGAGTGTTGGAAAGGTTAACGAAAAACACGACACTTGTACACACAGAGATGAGCATGCTCGTACGCTTCTAAACACATCCGAACACGTCCAACATATTGCTAACCATCACATTCTTTTTAGCTTTATTAGAAAACCCCACGCGTATCAAAATAACAAAGCGTAGTTATTAAAACAAGGAATGACCTAAAAAAAAGAACTTAAATGGCCTGTAAGGACCTAAACAAAAGGAATAACCTAAAATAATCTTGACTGATGTCTAAGATGGCCAAAAATGAAAATAACCTCGACTGATGTCTAAAATTACCAAAAATGACGTTCAAGCCTTACTCAAAAGATCCAAAATAGTAGTTGGTAGTAGCACAATGATCTAAATTGTTCTAAGTGATCTAAACTGGCATTTTAAATAAAACCGAGATAAAATAGCTTTCAGTGATCTATGGCGAATTACATAACTGAGTGCTTACCTAAATAATACTGAAACGCAGAAGGTGCCCTGAACAACTGGAGATTCCTTTCCCGATAATTACCACGCGGTTTGGCTTTGCGCGAAGTGCCTACTTTTTCCTCAGCAACGCGGATTTGATTGGTGCGAAGTCCCAAGTTTCGCTTAAACAACGAGTTTTTGATTGGTGCAGCTATTTCATAAGGGAAGACACAAAGTTATCTTTTATTCGTGCGCTTCCCTTGCTCGTGGTATGGTTTCCTGAACACTTCTAGTTCCAGGTACGTACGCTTGCAGATAAGGTTTTTAGCTCGCGCATTCAGTTCTGCCGTTCTGTTGTATATAGCTGGCAATTACTATTTTAAATTGTTCTGATAAAATTTAAACGTCATTTTACGTCATTTTAGTCATCAATGTGGATTGCTTTCGACCATTTTAGGTCAATACATCTGTCAAGGTTATTTTAGGTCACTTTAGGTCATTTGAGACATCATTCAAGGCAGTTTTAGGTCATACCTTGTTTTAGTAATTTTGAATATCAAAGAAGCACGTACACAAGACGAGTGAACACTTCTCTCGTGTGGATGACTGTTTCTCGATGGAGACGGTAGCTTTTACCTTTGCATGTCATTTAATTCACTGCTTCTGATACCATTTTAAGGTAAAAGAGCGAGTCTGCAAGCAAATGAGCGACGGGAAATTATAAACGTGTTAATGAAGCCCGGCGATATCTGGGCCTTGAACATGTAACAGTTAGTTTATTACTTAATGAAGTATGCAAAGAAGAACTTTGCAAGTCTACTTCGTTCGGTGACGGTGTATTTTTGTCAGCAAGCGGTGTGTAAATAGTGTCACCCTCCTGACGACATAAAATTCCGTCTAATTTCTATTATGGTAGTGGACAGAGAAAAGGTCTTAAAGAAATTTGTTCTTCCGATACACGAAAATCGTTTCCTTGCAAAATGTTTTATTACATTTTATAATAAAGTTCGGATATAACGCGCGCTGTTGTTGGTTGAAAGAGCGTGCTCTATCAGAGTACAAAGCATAGAGATGAGCTAAAGCCGTCACGCCATTTGCCAAATTGTATTATGTCCGACCTTTCCCGGGACTTCTCTCTGGCTTTTTTTCGTCAATTGAAAGTGAAATTTCGGAACAAGCGGGCCGGCAAATAGCAACAGAAGTACCAAATAAAGGTTTGTAAACATGCCAAGCGCCGTAATTTACGTTATTATAACGTGAGAAGAGACTGTTGCAGAACTTCTGCGATGGTTTGAGCTTTGATGGTTTTTAAACTTTGATGGTTTGACATTTTTGATAGGTTTAGTCTAGTTCAACCAATCAGATTATGGGAACCATTCTAACAAGGATTTTAATTGGCTCCTTTTTCTCGTGCTGTAGATCGATCAATCGTTCAATCGGCCGGCTGAATGCATATGGCAAAGCGTGAAAAATGCAGCTCATTTAAAATGAGAAGCTGACAAGTTCCTTGAAAAGCAACAGCTGCTGTATAATACACAAGACGTACAGATCGCGACGCTTGGATTGTAGTCAAGCTCCACCATATATTTTGTATCATTTCACATACCATTAAATGCTTCAACCACAGATGCAGCCTGTTGCAACAAAAAAATGCATTTTGTTCCTTTCTTTCTTAACACTGCAGGAGACAGTCTGATTTAGTTCCGTCCCAGCCCCCTCCCTTTTTTAACGATGTTATTAGAAACTTGCCGTGCATATATCTATAGGTATATATATTCCCCTTTTTTATTATTATTTTCCTTGAGATTATGTATTTACTCCATATATGGGTGACAATAAAGATGGACTTATTTATCTTTTTGTTTCTAAAAAAAGGGTATTTAGTCACTTCGCTGACATATCAACTTGTCGACAATCAACACCTTTTATAGTCGACTCGGCAAGTTAATTAGTGGTTTCGGCGCGTTGACTGCAACATTGATGAGTTTGCTTATGATGACGGCGAGTTGACATGTCGACGAAGTGATCAGTTACTGTTACATTGTAAAAAAAGTGGAGAAAAGCATAAGGAGCCTTTTAGGTATTTGCTGTTCCAAGCTATAGAAACTTGGCGATAGCATTTCGTCGATCAAGCAGTAAATGTGTCGCAGCGGAAAACAGAACCTTGCAGTCTGAATACTTAAAACCGCCCACTTTAACGCTTGGGTTTGTAAAATTTCGTGCTGTATATGAAAACAAACAGAAATAAAAAAAATTCCCTCCATAGGTGGTTTACAAATCGTTTTGAAAATCATGAAACTATACACGGGGAACGATGTTGTTTAAGAGATTCGCTTTTCATGAGAATTGGTAACAGGGTGTTTAAGAAAGGAAAGTAGTACGGAAAGTTAATGCTACGTGCTCAAACAACGAAGAAATATAAAAGGTGCATGTTATGTTAGCAATTCCAGAAACTCAAAAGTTTGAATTGTGTGTTTTGGGTTTTTCCTTTCCAGGATTGATTCTTACGAGAGATTCCTTCTTGTGTTCATGCAATCGTAAAAGCAACTCGCCCTGTTTTGGATAATTCTACACCCGGTCTCCATCTTGTTCGTCATTTCTGTCAACTCAACTTCACACTATCGATATGGTACCGTTCGCTATCTCTCGCGTGATAGCCATGCGATCATACTCCGGAAAATACGAGAGCGCCCACTAGTCTTGAAGACGAGTCAGCAAAGTTACCTTTTTAACACTTTGACGCGCGCAAAGAGTTTAAAGCCCCCCTTCGCGCGAATAGAGTTTCTGCCCTATTAGTTTATCGGCGACAAGAAAATAACACGTAAGACATTTCCATACGAAAACTAATTTCCAATTGAATATCAGCTGCGTAATTTTACAAGTGTAGGAAAAGAAAAAACGAAGATGATCATCCGTCACTGTCAACCTTTATCCTTTGACCTCTAAGAGTGACTAATAACTAAATTCTCCGTACAATATCACCACTGAATCACGGATTAAAGTCCCGAGAATAAAGGAAATGATCACCAACTTAAGTAGCTCTTGACTGCTAAACAAATTCTCCTCGTCAGCACATTAGGAAAAGTATATAGAACAGTATGGAGAATATGCATACTGATCATAGAGTGTAAAGGCTTTATACACATATGACTACCTTTATGTGAAGAGACGCCAAAAAAAACACATATTTAGAATTCCAGAAAGTTTACTCATGAATTTTTCGAACACGTCCTTGTTGCATAAAAATTTGGGAAAATATGCTCTTAAATGGCAATAAATAATTAAAATCACAAATCGAATTAACTGGCGTCAACTAATCGAGTTAGGGGCTTGTCAAGAGAACTTGATTTTAACCATACTGTTTTTTCCCCTGAAGACTTCATAGATATAAAATCGCCAATTTGTGGAACAAAAGAGGTAAACAAGGTGGCTTATAGAAAATTCTCTCTGAAGCAATCCAGTTGTTCGAGAAATTTTGATATCATTTCCCCTCCATTAGTTCAGTCTTTAGCGGAAAGAGGGGAGGGGGAGAGTCTTACTTTAAAAAAAAAATTTAACAGGATTTAAGGTATGCCTTCACTCTTGAAATTCCCATCTTATAAAGCTAACCCTATTTACCTTGAAAACGGTGCCTTACTGGGTAAAGCATCCTCGTAATCTCTACATCCCCCCCCTGCCCCGTCAAGCTCTTCGCCATTTTCGTCAATAGCTCGTTTGAGGTGCAGTACCTGAATTTCACATAAACAGATATGTAGAACGTACAAATGAAATGATACGTACGTTAGAGAAGAGCGTGACCTTGTACCTTTAACCAGAAGCTCTCGCCCTGTTTAAAATTAACTCGGTAGTGTTTCAAATGCAACTCCTGTTGAGAATTTCCCGAAGCAAGCAAATCTATGGCAAGTGCGTTTTTCTGGTGAGTTAATTAATATTCATGACTATCACCTGATTAGGAAAGATTTCACGTGAAATTTTTCTGACAACAATTGATTTCATTTGAAGAAGTTAACACTTTCCGTTAGGTAGATCGTGTGACTGGCTGGTTAGTGGACGACAGGTTACGCCTCACGCTGTGAAAGCTCTGAGGAAGATTTTCGCAATTTCCTACACACCTGTACTGCGAGAGAGATTATTCGGATCATCACTTTTAGATGAGTGGGTTCAAATAGAGAGACTATGCTTAAAAACCCCTGCAAGTCTTCGTAAAGAAAGTTCCGCTTTTTCATTAGAACAACTAGTTGAACCCATTACCAAATCTTGAGATCATAGCATGGAAAGCTCTTGAACTTAAACAGTGTTATTTTGCCCTATCCTCTCACGTGAGAGTGCTGTGTAGATTAATTGTAAAAAAATCTGCATTGCATTCTTTTTTTCTCACTGACTGATTTGAAAATCAAAGGAACGAGAGGAAGCAAAAAAAAAATTTCGTCGTTTGACGTAAGACCTATGACCACTTTTAACCCTTTAACACCCAACATTGATACATGTATACATTTTCTCCAAACTGCTCTCCACACATTTCCTAGGATGCTGCCCAGGAGGATTTGTTTAACAATAACAAGCTTCTTTATTTGCTTTCTTGTGATAACCCTTATGTTTGTTTCAAGTGCGATGCTATAAGGTGAAATTAGATCCCAGCCACTCTTAGGAGTTCAAGGGTTAAACTGTCTAAACTCTCACAGGCTTTAGTCACGTTCATTACTGTATCAATAGTGGTGTGCGGAAAATTATAAAATTCAAAATAATGGTGAAAATCTTAGGGTTATCGGAGAAACCAAAGCATTTTCATCGCGAAACTCGTTAACAGGATGTTCAAAAAACAGGTAAAAAGGCTGCGTAAAGTATCATGAGTGTTAGCCAAGTTTAGGCACGTGCCGCCATGTTGCCTGTATCAGACGATCGCTGTTTTTCATAATGCGATTACAAATTGACGATAACAAACACACCGGTTTGCTGAAAAAAAGTAAGTTTTGTATGAGATCTTATCGTTCGCCCAGTGAATGAGTCATTATCGTTATCGGTAAGGGAATAAAAACAATGAAATTAACAATTGATCTTAATGTTCTTCATTATCGATCGGAGAGGAAAGTAGAGACGAAACTTCTCCCATCTGATGTGTTTTCCTGCCATCGCGCCCGACTCAGCCATGGTCGTGATGGGTTTTCGACAGTCAAGACCCTTGGTATTCTGGAAAGTTTTGCCTGGCAAGACATTGAGGTTCCTGCTCATTTCAGGGGTTGATTCAATTTTTTCGCCTAACAGTTAAATTTCCGTTTACGTAACGGTTAACCCAATTGAGACCCTCCATGGCTAACTCGCGCTTGGCGCTTGCTCTTGCCTTTTTCGTAAAAATAAAAAACTAAAGCAAAGTCGTATATGCCTGTGGTATGGGCTGAGCAGAAATTAATTAGTCCAATGGATTAGTGCTTTAATCCTGTAAGCATGCGCGAAAAAAAAAAACGCAGCGGGACCTTGTGAAAATTCCATATTTATAATATTTAACGCACGCAAGAAAAAGAAATCCACCGATTAATATCACCTTTGGCAAGGGCTTCAATTGAGGCCTAAGGTTGAAAATTTTTTATCTTTAAATCCATAAATATTCTCGCAAGACTTGTCAACGTCAATGTGTTAGCGCCTATCCAATAATCTAGTATCTTTTTGAGAGATCTTAGTTTATGAGAGAGAGATAGAAAACTAGTCTGACGAAATTCCGACTTGGTAATTATTTCATCACTCCCACGCTCGAAACAAATGAGGCACATCCTAGTCAATTTCTTAACTTGACGACTGCGCATAAAATTAACCATCTTCCATTATCTATTGACACCAACGGACAAGTTTCTGCTAAATTACTACACCAGGAAAAACTTTCGGTTTAAATATCGCAGCTTCTTGTCTTCGCCTTAATCACGTAAAAATGTTGAAATTACCTAAATATATCAAAAGAAATCAGGATTGATTCCCTTCCATTATAACCCAATCTGATCAATACTTCTAAAGGTGTCAACCTTCTTTTCAGTTTTAAAAAATGTGTTGATTTTCAAAATATTCTGGAATCATCCGCCACTGATGAAGAGTTTAAACTCCGCTTGAATCATATAAACTCTGTAGTTTTAATTTCTCGAACAGGTACATTCCGGTGAGTGGCGGAGTACCCTTGAAATAAAAAAAATATTGATTTATAGGCCGCGCAGTGTTTTTTTTAAAACAGGCTACTGTTACGTCGGAAGTTTAAAAGCTTCCAACGTAGGAGGACAACGGAAAAGATATCTGACATCGTCAAGGCAGCTTACTCAAAACGAGACACTCAACATTGCAAAGCAGAGTCCAAAAGCTAAGTCTCGACCAAAAGATTTCAGATATTACGGATCTAACTGCCGTGATTAGGAAAAAAATTTTTCTCTAAGTTTTGAGGTATGATCGACTGATTGATCGCGGCAACGCCTTAAGCCGAGTGCTTTGTTTCAACACTTATTCCAAATTAATAGGTGACCAGAAGCAATAGGCGAATTATCTTATTACTGACCTGTGTTTGATAAGTTATAAACAGATGCTCACCGGTAAGTTCCAACTACGGCAACTGCTGCAAATAGGCCCGAAAACAAATTTAGAATTCGACGAGGTTCCATAGCTCAGTTGACATCAGCACCTAACTGGTATCTAAATAGACCGGGTTTACGCCCTGTTGGTGCCTAAAATCTATCTTCAGGCTGCACTCTGAGAAATGCTTATTTTTAGGTTTTGAAAAAGCCCACATTTCTCTTTGAAAAGAGGGGGCTTAAATTTTGCTAATGAGGTCTGTATTTCTGTGACCATTTACCAAGTTTTTGGCGATAAAATGATAAACAGGAAGGACAGCTTCCTCTGCCATCCATAATGCTTTACAAAACGGATCTGAATCTTTCAGATAAAAGTCTCTATTTGATCATACACCATTCTTATTAAAATTGATGATCTAAAAGTATGCTGTTGTAAAACCTTTCTACATATTCATAACAAAATCAAATTACTCAAATACAAACTTTTTTAAATATTAATTCGTTTTTCCCGTTCAATTTTCGTCTTCTTTTATAATTTAAATAGTTGAGAGTAGTCTGAATAAGACCAAACATTACCGACGAAAGTTTTCGAAAACTGAACCAAGTATTGTAATAGTAAAATTGAAACGAGCTTAGAGGTCTTTGATGGCTGTTGCGAATTCTTGTGGCAATTTATTGAGAGTGTAAAAACGTTTCCGAGGCGCAGTCGGTTGTTTGCTGAAGCAATTTTGATCAATAAATCTGAAACAGTGTAGAACAAAATTTCTTCTCTCGTATCCTTACAAATAATTTGTGTCCGATAAGAATAAAAAACATAGAGCAAAAACTACTTAAATACCTTGAGAAAATCAAAATGCTCAGCAACTGAAGAATAGCGTATTCAAAGAGCTGCGTCTGCGGGAAACGGCGAGAGGAGTGCTCTGAGATACAGTGTTAATCATATTCAGTTTCCACGAAACCCTGCTGCCACCTATAATAGGAAGTAACCATATCGACTTGAAAATCGAATCGCTTTGTAAAATATTCATTGGGATATACATTTACACTTTGTATTGTCACTAAAGTTATTAACCAAAAACGAAAGAATTAATTTCATTTTTCAGAGAAACTAATGGAACATGATTAAAAAAGCGAGAAACTGTGAAAATCTAAATTGAGTTTTGGATAATTAAAAATTGCTCAAACATACATGAAGGCTTCATCAACTTCTGTTGATAGAATCTTGGCAATAAGTCTTACTAAAGGAATAATTTTCATCTTACTTTTGTCGTTATGAACTTTTTTATATCAGTCTAGACAGAAAAACTGGCGAGCTTGTCACCAATCACAGTTAAACATAAGCTATCTAATCAAAGAAATCGAACAGTAAACATAGAACTGATGGTGATATTGAGTGCATTATCAAATATCATGGCTAGAGCTGATAGAATCGAGGTAAAACTTTCTATCTCAACAGTAGCAGGTGGCTATAACACTTCACGCTATGTTTTTCATTAAATCCCCAAGGTAAAGAATCGTCATCATCATTAACATCGACCTAATTTTCACCAAAAGTAAGTTCAAAGTGAAATTCCAAAAAAGCTGGTTTTATCAGGTTCAAGAAAGGGCTTCCTTAGAAAAGCTCGCTGAGATTTTAAGGACTGGACAGGGCTGTTCAGTTCTGTTTCGTGAACAATCTAGCGTTGTCTTGTCTCTGTAATGAGAATTATTCACGTTGGTGACTGAGCTGAAATCTCAGATGACTAATGTCAGTATTCTCCTTCACAGCCTTTGTTTACTCTCATCCGGAATCTTTTTTGGGGTCGATCAAACGAGACCAGACTTCACCGAAGATTGTATTCGTTACAAATCGGGCATAAATTTCTCCCATAAACAAAACGCAAACTCTCAGAGCGTTTCGGAGTTTTACTATAAATCGTATGCTTAACTGTTACAATCTCCATCTTGTCATTTTCACTCAGTAGGCGATTTCTGCTCGATTCTCCCCAAGCTTTATTGCGTATGCCTGTTTGTGTCTTATTTTCACACTCAATAATTTCAATGATCAGTCGGCCAGTTGTCTATCAGACCACAAAGAACGAAATTAAACTAGGCTACGGATCTTTTTGTGGTTTATAACCTCATTACTTTGATAAAGATCAAAATACAATACCTTGTCTTTATAACCTTTTTCTCCTCCGGTACCTATAAAGGATCTCCTTTCCAGAAAGTTCACAGTCATACGAATTCCGTCATCAGATAAATCTGGGCAACATTTTTATCAAATTTGTTTTTAAGTTTCTTCTTTGGCCAATTAGGGAAGACAGACAAAAGCGTGAAATATTTGCTAAAATGGTTTCCTGCGGATCTGCGTACATAT